CCAAGGGGTGGTTCGAACTGCCAGTCTTTAGGTTAGCAGCTGATGGCCAATTGCCGGTGCCACCCAGGGACCTACTGAGATGGTGACACGTCATATAAACAATATAGGGTAATGCGGCGGGGTGGCTGGGGGCCGTGAGAGGCCTGGCTGGGGTGGAGGGCATGTAAGCTGGAACACAGATGATGAGATGGAAATAAGTCACCAGGCTCTGGGCAAAGATGCGAACTCACGTGGGGTGAACACAAACAGTGGGTGGGAGCTCGGTGGGAGCTTTGACTCTGTAGGCAAGTCTTAGCACCCATCCTCCCACATCCCTAGAGGACCTCCCCTGGGGTACCCAGGACTAAGAGCCCTCCAGCTTTGGAGACAATGCAGAGGGAAGCCTCCAGAGTATGCAAGAATTCCCCCCAATTCTTTATGGGGAAACTCCTGTATGCGTAGAAAGGCCGGCAGACTACCATCTTTCTGTCACTTTAGACCAACCCAGGCTGGGATGCTATGGCGAACAGTCTTTGCCTTGCCCTCCCCCACACCCCCATTCCACTCCTAGGCCTGTCTGGAGGAGGGAGGGGCTTCCGTGTCCTCCCTCTGGAGGCGGAGTCTGTGGCCTAAGTCTAGCCCAGTCCTGGGTGCCCAGCAATTGGCTCAGGGTGATCCTGTGACCAAACCCAACTCACCCAAGCAAACTTCTGCAGTTCTATAGACACCACGCAGAGACAGGTACCCCTTCTCAGCATTTGGGGCCTGGGAAGAACACAAAGCTGCAACCATACAACCTTCCACACTGCGGAAGTCCAGAGGCAGAGAGAAACCGAGTCACAGTCCCTTCTTAACCTTGGGTCCTCCACTTCCAGCTTCCCAGTTCCTTCATTTCCCTAATCTGCTGAGCAGTTTGGGGGGGTTTTCTGTGCTTGCAATGAGGGCTGCTTCATCTAAACCCCCAAGAAGATGACCAGAACCACAACAGACCGCTCACCCTCCCCCAAGCTCCTTGGGGGCCACGGGCTCATTGGGACACCACTGCAGTCCTTCATCACCACTGAGTTGTCTCCAAGTTGAGAGCTTGTCTTCTCTCTAGTACTGTAAGGTAGCTGACAGCAGGGGCTGCATCTTGGCCCTTTTACACTCCCCCATCAAGTGCCCACCAGGGCTGGACACACAACAGGTGCTTGCTACACTTAAAAAAAAAAAGATGCCATTGAGTCAGTTCCGACTCATCTGTGGCAGTAACCCTGTCCTCTAGGGTTTGCAAGGCTGTGAAATCTTGGAAGCCAGACTTTCCTCACTAAAGCACCTCTGGGTGGGTGGGTTTGGACCACCAACCTTTCAGTTTGTAGTTGAGTGCCTACCCAATTGTGCCACTCCTCCTTGTGAAATAGGAAAGGGGCGGGTAGTCTCACGCTCCAGGGACAAAGAAGCTGGGAGGCAAGTTGGGCCTCAGTTCTGCCCGGCCTGGGGGTGCGCTGGGAGCAGGCGCAGTGGAGCGGGCAGGGCCTAGGATTCAGAGCCAGATGCCCGGGAAGGCTCGCGCCAGCCGAGTGCTCTTGGAAAGTCACTAAACTTCTGAGCTTCATGGTCCTCCTCTTTGCAAAACCACTCTCAGGATTAAAGTGCTCAATACATCAAAATGCACTTCTGTTCCACCATGCGACCAATATTTACTGAGTCCTGGCTGGGTGCCAGGTCCGATTCCGGAAGCAGTCAACACAAGGTCGGATGCAAATGTTAATTATTGCTAATGATGTTGCCACTCGCCCTCCCCTTCCCTCTCTACAAAAGGGGCAAGGTCAGGTCTTTCTGCCAACTGACTGCTTATACAAAAAGTACAGTGACGATTCAGGACATGGAGAAAGTGTAGCCAGAAAGCTTCTTAGAAGCCAGGATAGCAAGACTGTCTCGCTGACTTGGGTCATGTTACAGCAGGGCCCAGTCCCTGGAGGAGGACATGATGCTTGGTAAAGTAGAGGGTCAGCAACAAAGAGGAAGACCCTCAACAAGACGGATTGGCTTTAACGATGGGTTCAAGCACAACAGTGGTTGTGGGGATGGCACGGGACTGGGCAGTGTTCAGTTGTTGTTCACGGGGTCACTGTGACCTGGAGCTGACTCCACAGCGCCTAACAACAACAACAACATCAGGAGAAATGGGACTCCGTCGACATGCCCAGACTGCGTGTGACAGAAGCCACTCAAGGAGACCCGAGCCAGAGGGTGCAGTGAACTAGACACCGGTTGAAAATGCAGTAACCCTGACTCTCTACTCAGAGCAGCTCAGTGTTCCCTACGTGGGTGGAGCCTGGAGACCCTGGCCTTACACAACCCCCAGCACGTGTGCGTTCAGCACACACACCCACCACTTCTGGCAAAGAAAGAAGAAGAAAGACGACTATCGGGGGCAATTAAACAACAGGGTCAGCAGGATCCAAGCTGGCCCAGGTTCAAAGGAAACCCCAGCCACTTTTCTGCAGCCTGTGTTCTCCCACCTGCTGGGATAAGGGAAGTTGGTGGTGAAGAAAAGAGCACAGCAGGTGTTTTAGACCAGGCTTCCACAGAAGGGAGAAGCTCTGGTGGTACAGTGGTTAGGGCATTGGATTGCTAACCAAAAGGTCAGCAGTTCAAGTCCACCTGGGAGAAAGATGAGGCAGTATACTTCTATAAAGATTACAGCCTTGGAAACCTTATGGGGCAGTTCCACTCTGTCCAACAGGGTCACTATGAGTCAGAATCGACTTGATGGCAGTGGGTTTGGTTTTTGGTTTGGTTGGGGGAGGGCCCCAGCAGAATCAACAGAACATTTTATGGGCACAGGTCTAGACCCTCATTCCAGCTTCACCACTTATAAGTTTCACGACTTTAGAAAATGTGCCACCTCCCACGGTCTCTCCTAACCTGGAAAATGGGGCAAGACCTGCCCGAGAGAGTATGACAGGACTGTCACCCAGTGTTGCTCCTTGGTTTCCTTGCCTTCTGCACACATGCCCTCCAGAGCCTCCTGAGCCCCTTTCAGCAGCCCTGGAGCAGGCAAGGACTGTCCTGCCCATCTCCCAGGTAAAGACACAGAGACGCAAAGCCATTAGGTGACTTGCCCAGCAACTAAGTGGACAAGCCAAGTGGTCCCTGGCTATGATAAACCTCATAGTGTCCAAACACATCATCCCACTGGGTCCTCCACTCAAAGACCCAAGAGTTGGAGCCAGAGCTCAAGTCCAGCTGTCTGAGGCCTGGGCAGTTTTCACACCCCTTGCTGCTTTTCCATACAGGCTCTTCTCCCGAGAATCTTCTTCACTTGTTTAAGCAAAACCTACCTATGGCAAGAGAACAGACGAGCGGAGGTGGATCTATGGAAAAATAGCACCTATGGCTAACACTAAAATTGCACCCCTGTCCAAACATCTGCCACCATCTTTTAGATCACTTCCCCATACTATCAGCTCAAAAATACAAGTCCAAGCTTACTCATCTCTTACTGAACATCACGGCACTACATGAAAATGGCAACTGCACCTTCCCTGCTTTCACTGATAAAGACGGTTCCATGATGCGCTCAGGGTCATTTTTGTTCAGTTTTTGCTTTTTCTACACTCAGAGCAGTGCCTAAGGCACTTGACTGCTCACCAGAAGGCTGGCTGTTCAAACCCACCAGCCACTCCTGGGAAGGAAGGTTGGGCAATCCTACTTCCGTAGTGATACTGCCTCGGAAACCCAAGGAGGGGTCGCTACGAGTCGGGGCTGACTCGACGGCAAATAACAACAACAACAACAACACTCAGAGCAAGATCATACACTCTGCCTTAACCTATGGAGCCTCGCAAACAGAAAGGATTCACTTTAACTTTCTGAATGATCTTTCATAGCTCGCAATGGCAACTGTGATGGTCCATAGACACTGCTCAGTGGTGCCCCTTTCGTGTGACACCCAGGGCACATGCCATACCTGCCATAGCTCACATGTCATCCAGGATCCCTACAGTCTCTCACCCCTTAGAGAAGTCTGAAGAAGAACATCAAAACCACCTCCCAAAAGGGCAAAATACACTTTCAATTTCTCAGTGGAATCCAGACTTTCTGGAGCCATGGAGGCTGGATAAGCCCTCAAAACTATCATCTGAGATAATCTTTAAACTGTAACCAAAACTACGCCCTGAAGTCTTCCTAGAACTAAAAAAAAATAGCTTATCTTAATTCATAAAGTACGTCTGTTTTGAGCAGTGTGCTCTTTTCACAAATAATCTATGTATAATGAAATTGACAGCAGGGCAAATGTTGGGTGGGAAGCTTAGGGGGCAGTGGGTTAACGATAATGGAGGAAGACCATTGGTATTTAGCCATGAGTTAAAGATATGGAGGAGGAGGGAGAGAACGGTAGCACAAGATGAAGACGGTAACTGATGTCACGTACACGGAGAATCATACACATAGAAATTGCTGAAATGGTGTATCTTTGGCTATAAATACTTTTGCCAAAATTTAAAAAATAATAATAATAACGACCTCTCAGGGTAAGCAGAATCCATCTCCCACGGTGTAACACATCCCCAGAGAAGGGGCCCCAGGGTCCCAAAGTGCCACCCTGCAGCTCCCAGCTCCATCCCAACTCTGATGGGCCATCCCAACGTGCCATCAGCCAGAGTCAACTCCATGGACTGGCTGCCCTGAGAGCCCCAGCAAACAGATACAATGAAAACAAACAATGCCACACAGGCAAACAAGCAAAATCAAGAGAACAAGGAGAACATTTAGCCTTTAGGAGCATTGTGAGAATGAAAATAAATGTTTTAAATTCTCGAACGTGACCTTTTCAGTTGTTGGATAAAGCAGGCACTTGAGTTGCTCAGTGGCATACCTGATTATCGTCTGGACGTTACCTTTCAAAATGTCAGCTACCCTCTCCCACTCAGGTGCACAAAACCACCCTTCCCCGCTCTGGCTGCAACTGTCCACAAAAGCACTGTGTCAGGCCGGGCCAAATGCCATCGGGCAGCGGGAGATCTGTTTCTTACCAGGATCTGTGCAGTTCTTAGTTGCCTGCGTCCCATTTATTGGTGCCATCAGCTTTCTATTTCTCCATGAGTCTGGTGGAGCATGTTTGCTAGCGGAAGCTGTTTTGTGCCCTGGATGGAAAAAGAAGTCAATGTAGTGCCATCATCTCAACTGACCTCCCACCTGGGTATCAAGCTGCATCAGGAACAGCCAGCCCTCTTTGACTACTGAGAGCCACCTGTAGGGAGTGACAGTTATTAGAAGTACTATCTCACCCACTTATGTACAATGGTGTTTCCTGACTGTAGTTCATTGTTTCTATACCAGATAGGTCAACAATATGTGACCTGACTTTGAGCAAGACTTCTCTGGCCTAAGCCCTTCACAGATGCAACAAAAGGTTTGGATCCAGTTGTTGAGCCACTTCATGGCAACCCCATGCGCGTTAGAGTAGCATCATGAGCCACAGGGTTTTCAGTGGCTGATTTTTTCCAAGAAGGTCACCAGGTCTTTCTTCCCAGGCACCTCTGAGTAGACTCAAACCCCCAGCCTTTCAGTTTGTAGCTGAGTGTTTCACCATTTGCAGCACAGAGGGATTCCAGGGTTCGGATTCAAAAAAAAAAAATTAAACCCACTGTTGCCAAGTTGATTCCAACTCAAAGCCAGGGGTCAAAGCATTCAGCTGAGAACCAAAAAGTTGGCAACTTGAACCCACCAGCCACTCCATGAGAGAGAGATGAGGCAGTCTCCTTCCATAAAGATTAAGACCTTTGTAAACCCTGCGTGGCAGTTCTACTCTGTCCTATAGGGTCACCTTGAGTAACTACAAGTCAGATTTGGAGAGGTGACCATTAAGTTCTCTTCCAGTCAACACACTTGGGCAACCCCTGCCATGGTAGTAGAGGCTACAAATTGGTCAGTTCAGTCAGCAAACTGGTAGAGAAGGTTGGTGGGGTCTGCTCCAGTACTTTCTCCCACCTGAATGTGCACACCCATCACCTGGGCATGTTAAAATGCAGATCCGGAGTCAGCAGGTCTGGGGTGCACCTGAGACTCAGCACACGTTTAACAAGATCCTGGGTAATGCTGATGCTCCAAGGGTCATACCCGAGTAACAGTGAGCAACCCTGGTTAAACTGCTGAAAGTAGTTCCCACCTAGCAAATATAAAAGGATCCTCTCTTGCCGACCTTTGCAGTATTTGCTTCCCTCTCCGGATGCACACACAGCTTCAGCCGATAATAATGCCTCCTCCATAATGCTGACATCTAAGAGCCTCTAGGCATTTTGTTATCTCTGGTGTGTGTAATTGAGTGAAAAAAACACACCGATTTGCCCAATTGCAAAGCTGCAGGTATTAAGATGTTCAAATAACCTTTCTGGGTCTCTGTTGAAAGAGCCTCAAATCCAGAGTGTGGATTCTGAAAGGCAGTATTTTTTTAAAGTTCAATCACGTTTCACCTGGTTTTTATCTAGCACTATACACCTCTCTGGCCTCTAGACGCTCTTGGCCTTCCTAGTTGCTCAAGAAGGGACCACAGGGCTTTACACCTCCGTGCTGAGGTGGCTGGATCATCTACATTTCTCCTCCTTTTGTAAACGTGGAGAAAAAAAAGGGGGGAGGGGTCAGGGCGTCCAACTTGAAATGGGAATTCCAGGGATGCTTCGGAAGGTTGTACATGGACTCCCATCCCCACACACCCACATTTTTTGGTAAGTTTCTTCTCTTTCTCCTACTACTCCATCTCAAATTTGCATATCCTAGGGGACGCCCAACTCCCTGGGTTCCTTTTTCGGAGGAGGAGGGTGGGGACTGTGGCACAGACATCAGCCCTCTCCTTCCGTGGGGATTAAGAGAAGGTGAGAGAAGCAACGCTGAAACATGGCAGCAATCCCCCGCGGCGACAGGCTGCCCCACACTTTTAGGATTTGGGGAGGACGCGTCAGGAAGGACACGCAGGTCGCCCCTCTGGACCTGGGCAGAGGCGAGGGGAGGGCTGAGAGCCATAACAGATCCCTGACCTGATTCTGGTCTTTCTAGGGACACGAGGCACAACCCTCGCTGCCCCGCAGAAAAGGATAGCGGACCACTCCGTTTTGCTCTCCCCAGACCAAGAGAATCCATTCCTGGATCCCACCGCTGCCCTGAACCTTCCCCGTGCACTCCAGGGGCAGAATTCCGGCACAAGGGGCCAGTAGTTCAGGCTTTCTTTGGTCTTCACTGTAACAGATGCGCAGCCACGACCTAAAGCCCCCAGGGGCCGCGCACAGCTCAGAGCAGGCGCCACAGCTCCGAGCGCGGGCACCAGCCCTCCCGGGTGCGTCCCACCTGCCCAGCGGGGAGGGGACTGAATGAATCCTTGAGACTAAATTGGCGAAGAGGGGGTAGGAGAGAAACATCTCGAAGCTGACCCGCCAGCCTATGCCCCCCAACTCCAGGGCAAAGACGGGGCAGCCTGCACCCGGCACCTACCCAAACTGCCGAAGAGGCTGGACGCACAGCACACCAGGGCCAGCACCGCGCACACGAAGCCAACTTGCTGCGGCAGCATCTCTCGCCTCCCGCGAACTTTGCGCGGCCGGAGGGGGCCGCGGAGCGCCATCCCGGGGCGCCTGGGTGCAGCCCCTGGGAGGGGGTGGAGATCTTTTCAGCCGCCGGAATCCTCTCTGCAGCTGAGCTGTGTTGGGGCTAGAGCAGGCGGAGCGGGACTCAGAGACCGAGAGCTTCGGGCCAAAGCCTCATGGCACTCGGGTGAGGACGACTGGGGAGCCCAGAAGGAAGAGAGGCGGTGGGGCGCGCGGTGCCGCGGGGGCTTAGAGTCCCGCGCGCAGCGTGCGCGCTCCGCGCACCATGGCTCCGGGGCGAGGAGGCGACGCCGGCACGGTGGCGCTGGCGGCCCTGGCTCGCTGGGCTGGCGCAGTCCGAGTGTCGGCGCGCTCGCCCCGGGGCGCCCGCTGGGAGCACTCAATGCGCCCCCACGGCCCGCGCCGCCGCGCCCACTCGCAGCATCCTCCCCCTCCAAGTTTGGAGGCGGCGGCGCAGCGCACCCGCTGTGCTCCCCTGCTGACCGGTGAGCCGAGCCCCAGCAGCCCGGTCCGCACAAGAGGAGACGGGCTGGACGCGCGGGACCCGCCGACCGGCGCCGCGAGCGGCCTCGTCGTCGCCCCTCCGCGGACGTTCTCTCCCCAGGAACTTTCTCTCCGGCTCCTCAGCTGCCGGCGCCTACGTCTGCGAGGCGGCAGCGCCTCCGTTCTCCTCCCCTGCGCCCGCCTCTCCCCTCCCTCCCCAGCACGTGTACTCTTCCCCTGGGGCGCACTCACCCGAGCGCTCCTCCCTTCGCCCCCCGGGAGGCTCAACTACTGACCAATGTGATCCCCCTCCTCCCTGCCTGGCTCTCTCTCTCCTCCCTTTTGCAGCAGAAACGAGCCGTTCCTCTACCCTCCCAGGCTGTGCAGAGAGAAACAGGTCATGGCACCGCCAGGGACTCTCAGAACGGGCGTTTCTGCAGAGTAGTCGCTGCTATCTGAGCGCCCCAGGACCCCCGGCGACCCGAGGCACCACCCCCACCTCCCTGGGGCGGGAGAAGTACGAGGTGAATCGCCGGAGCAGCGCTAGCACACAGGCTTGCACCGAGCCAACAGGCGCCCGCGCCCGGCTCCTGCAGGGCTCCCGGGGCGAGAGGGGTGCTGGGCGGGCGGGGGCGCGACACCGACCTGCAAAACACTGGAGACCCGGCGGAGAGAAACCCGAGAGGTCTGCGACTCCGCCCCCGAGTGGCGCTTTTGATGTACTGGAGCGTTACGGCTTGGTAGAGCTTTCTGGGCTTTTTGTTGATTTTTGTAATTCTCCTCCCCCTCTCTGATCGGCTCTCTAGTGTAAACCGCTTTAAAAATGGGGCAGAACAGCAGCAGCAGCTGAAAGTAATGCAGGTGCAGGCAGGTGGAGGGAACCTCCGGGCCAGGGCCTCAGCCCCAGGGGATTTGTGACGGACAAGCCCTGAGATGGCCTTCCTCGACGGGCCTGGTCCTCACGCACCAGTTAGGGCCTGCTACGGGTTAAGTGCTGGTAGCATAGTGCCTAAGGCACTTGACTGCTCACCAGAAGGCTGGCGATTCAAACCCACCAGCCACTCCTCGGAAGGAAGGTTGGGCAATCCTACCTCCGTAGTGATACTGCCTGCCTCGGAAACCCAAGGAGGGGTCGCTATGAGTCGGGGCCAACTCCACGGCAAACAACAACAACAACAACAGGTTAAGTCCACTTCAGAGCCTTCTGGGGAAAAGGCCGGGTCTGTATAATGAAATAAATACATACCCACTGTGTGTGGGCTCTGTGCCAAGTGCCCGCCAGGGAGCAAAACAAAACACAGAGAATGGGTAAAGCCCCAGTCCCTGCTTTCACAGAGCCCTAAATTAAGGCAGCACCAGCCCCTTCCATGAGTGCCTTTGAGTAGGATAGGTTCCAAAGGTCACTGATTGATGGGATGTGCATTCATCTTTTGCGACTCTGAAGATGCTCCACGGGGTATTAGCCACTCTGGGGAGCTTGTGGGAAAGGCAGACCCAGAATCTGCATTTTAACAGGCTCCCAGGTGATTCCTGTGCACAGTTAGGTGTGAGAAGCCTCGCCTGTCCCTGTCCCTGTCCTGGTGCTGCCAGCTGGTCCCCACCTTCTTGGTTCCCTCTAGACCAAGTAGACAGGGAACCTCATGCTGTATTAGCCTGGCACAGTGGTGGCACAGCTAAGAGGCGCCTAGAGGGCCAGGGGAGGGCGAAGCTTCCCTAATTATTTTCAGCAGCCCTGTTTCAGTACCTGCAAGACACTGAAAGCATGAACACAAGATTAATTGTGGTGGAAACCCCTAGAGAAGATGAATGGAAAAGGCCAGGGTTGGCACTGGGTCCAACCACCCAGGCTTCTGTTTTGTCTGTAGATTTGCGGGAAGGTCGAGACTCGCCCTCCGTGGAGGTGAGCTCTTCAAAGCCAGCCCTCCAGTGACTGGAAAGACACGTTTTCATATTTTGCAGAATTTTCTTCTCATTGACACTACTGTGCAAGGTTGCAGCAATCAATAGGCAGTAGAAAACCATAAAACAAATATTAAACATGTCCGTTGGCAAGCTAGCCAAGGACCCGTGGCATCAAATTTGAGCCAAAAGAAAGTGGTAAAATGAGAAGAGGCTGTTTACCTGTCTTTAAGGCAGCGTTAGGGTCACACTAGTTAAAGCAACTCCAGGAGACAAAATGGATTTCATATTTTCTTAAAACCTTTATCCATGGAGCTGAACTACTGCTGGTGAGAATAGAAAAATGTTTTAATCTAAAGCAGGCCAAAGGGGTCATTAGGTGTCTGTCTTTAAACATTCAGCTAGGACTTTAATAGAACGTTTCTTTTCTTTCCCATTTTTTTTTTTTTTCACCTGCTTTCAGTTAATAGTTAGAACCCTTGGCATCATTTCACATTCACAAATGGATTCCTTTTATTTGACAGTTTAAAAAGCAATTCGCTTGAAATTGTACTTCTTGCTTCATTTAAATAGTGCCCCTTAGCATACAGCCCGCCCTGCAGTTCTAATGAGTCACCCTGCAGAAAGAAGTGGGTTTTATGTGCCTTTCAAACTCCAAGCATTGGGAGTGCTTTCCAAATCACCAAGGCCAGAGGAACAAGTGGAAAGCATGTCTCTGAGTCTGTCTGTCTCAGGCCCTGGATCTGGCTTCAAGGTGGGAGACTCGCAGTGTCTCCTCCATGGACTCAGACTCGGCAGGAGACCAGCTGCGTGCCCACCCGGCTGTAGCCATTTGGACAGGAAAGCTTAGTGTGTGGGGGATAGGTATAATGATTGTTTTTTTTATCCCTAAAAATCCTTTCCTATGAAATAAAGAACCTTGCCATTGAGTCAATTTTCTCACTCAATTTTTCCACGTTTCCCAGGATGATTTCTCCACAACACTTAATCCCTCCTCTGCCTTTCAGATGACCGTCTCCAGCGTGAGGCTAATCAGAGCCCACTGGCAGGCTGGCCCAGACTCGGACTGCAGGGCCCCACTCCCA